CTCAGACATTCACTGAAGTTTAAGGGGAACTAAACTTCTTTGTGCTTACAAAGTGCCAGGCACGTAGTGGCCACCCCACCACCACCACCAAAATCCATCCATTACAAGTTTAAAGTACAGCTATTATTTTTACAGCATTGCTTAGAAATGGCTTGCAATCTCTAATTTGCTAAATTGATGTGTATATTGACTAAATAAATATTCGGCACGAAGCCTGAGTCCCCCTCCACACTTATTAATCCTCAGGAAATGGAAACACAGGACACGAAATGAGCTTTTGCTCAGAGCTGCAGACAGGAATACATTATGTTGTTTTTCAAGCGTTTGGGGACCTGACTCACTGCAGCAAAGACAGCCCAATCACCAGCCTCCAAGCCTTCTATGACGCACACGTCTGCCCAGGAGACGTGCCTGTGTTGCTAAGGTTCTTTTTCGGACTTTAGAAGTCTAGGACAACAAACTTTTACCTCAACAGGGGGACATCTGAGGTGACTGCTTTTTGGGGAGTTGATTTGGGGGGCTTATGGGTGGCATCAATATTCATAAATAGGAATCAGAGCTGCTGGCAGGACCTTGTGAGAAATGACTGGTGCTATTCGTGCCCTCAGCTCTGGGGACAGAAGGCAGGGCTGCCGGGAGCAGGGGGTAGAGGGACCGTATCTCTGTCAATAGCCTGCCCTGGATGGACTGGTTCCCATGGGCAAAGTTTGCTTCAGGTTTTCCCACCTTGTGGGGCTTTGACCTCTGAGATGTTGATAGTCCTGGGGGCTGGCCTCGTCCCAGGATGGAGAGGGGGCTCCAGACATGTGGGGAAGTCCACTGGGGTGGGGGCTGTCTCTCATGTGTGAACTTCAAAAGCCCCCTGTTCCAATGAAACATTCACCCATGGTGCTGGCTGAAGCCAAGGAAGCCAGAGAGCCCAGAACTTGGAAAGTTCATTCCGTGAGTTGAGAAATGGGGAGATGGTCTCCAGAAGAGGAAAAGGCGAGCGCTTTCCTTTTGCCCTACTTGGAAGATGAGAATCCCAAGGTGAGGCATTTCATATCTCACCTTTGCCTGAAGCCAGCTTCCTCTCCAACAAGACCCCAGACCTTTCAGGGTTTCTACCCAAGGAGAGCATGATCCCACAGGCTTGAGACTAAGGCAGGTCTCCTCTCTGCCCCTTAATTGTGGCATGGCCTTGGGCAGTTACGGTGACCATGCTGAGCCTCAGTTTCCTGGTCTATAAGATGAGGTCCACGACGGGACCACCATGGTCACTGCACCCAGTACCTGACCACAGTAAGATTGCTGCTGTCAGAAGCAGTGTGATTCCTTCCACCTGAACACATGTCTACCTGCAGATGGGACTGTTGGTCCCATGGAGGATGGGATCCAGGCAGAAGCAAGAGCTGTGCAAAGGTCCTGGTGGGACCTGACCCCAGGCCAGAAGACCAAAGCGTGGTTAGCAGGTGGGACAGTGGCCCCAGGGGAGGACAGAGAGGCAACCAGGGTCAGATCACACAGGGCCTTGCCGGCACAGGAAGAAGTGTGGGTGGTGTCTGGAGTGCGCTGGGCAGCCACAGGAGGGTGTCTGAAGGGGCATATCTGGGTCTCAGCTTCAGCAGCCCCAGGAACAAACCTCAGCCCTGTTTGGAAGGCAGTTCCTAGGGATGCGGCTCCTGAATTCAGCCCCAAAGATGAGCTCCTTGCCCGTCAGCTTGTGAGACAAGGCCAAAGCCTGCCTTCCTCTGGTACCAGTGAAGACTTTGTGAATTTAAAAGGGTGGGTCTCCAGCGAGATGCCCACACATCCTCCAGAACAGATGTAATAGAAACGGCAGACACACTCAGTGCTGGCGAGGGAGAAACGGAACAGCCAGAGCTCTTGTCTGCTGCTGGTGGCAATGCCAAGCAGCTCCGTCACTCAGAAATCTGTTTGGCACTAAAGTTAACCCTATACTTGCCCTGTGACCCAGCGGCTCCCCTCAGAGGTATTTACCCCAGGAAAATGCTCAGAAAGACAGTGCAGGAATTCACAGCAGCCTTACTCAAAACAGGCAACACTGGAAACAGCCCGGTGGCCCTGAAGAGGGGAACGGCTTGTCCCATGCGATGCAGGCTTGCAAGGAAGGGACAGTGCCAGGGAGGGAGCCAGTCCCACACGAGGACACTGAGCAAATGCAGGACACAGAGAGCCTTAGTGGATGAGTCCACGTCTACCCTGGAAACCTACGTGTCCTCAGAAGATCAGTGCTTGCCTGGGGCTGGGGGCAGGGTAACAGGGAAAGGTACAAGGGAGCTTTCTGGGGTGCTGATGGAATGAATGCTCTAGATCTTGATGTGGGTGGTGGTTACACAGTGGTGTCTAAATTTATCCCCTGTTCCACTTAAGACCTATGTGTTCTATGCATGTAAAAATGCTGCCTCAATAACATCGTACTTAAACTGGGGTCTGCGATTGGGTCTGGGGTCCATGATCAGCTCTCCTTCCTCTCCCCAGCTGCCCAACGTCCCAGGCAGCAGCACAGAAGTTCTGAGCAAGTACAGAGTGCCTGTTCCAACCGAGGGCTCCTGAGGCCACCGCGCCTGGCTTCCTGTGGCGCATCCATCTTGTTATTGTCAGAGCCGGGGAACTGCTCCCGAGGCGGAATCTTGAATATTCATCTGATTTACGGCTCGCTGCCGACAGCTTTATGAATCCGCCCACCAATACCTGCAGCCGGTCATCAATCTTCCCCGGAGATTGTGCTCCTGCCAGTAACTCATGAATTAAAGAGGCCCCTGGCGGCCCCCCACGCCTGCCTCCCCTCCCCTGGCGCGGCGCGTCGTGATGGAAGCAGGACCTGACCAGAAGTCAGAACATTGTTGTTGTCTTGCCGCCGCCGCGGCTCTGGCGACCTTGGATGACTCTCTCAGGCTGTCTGCAAGAGCAAGAGAAACTCAGGAGCCCTCAGAGCTGTCTCTGCCCTGCTCCGAGCCTCTGTTTCCCCATCTGTAAAGACGGGTGGGGGGTGACAGAACCACCTCCATCAGATTACCTGGGTTGGGGGCTAAGGCAGGACAGATTATGAGCTTGTGTGGATGCAAGACACTTTTTATCATTATTATTATTATCACTTGACCTGAGATACTCGAAGGGACGAGGAAGATAGTGTTGCTCACGGCAAATTCCCCTTGATTTTCTCATCAACAAAATGGGCATGAAGACAGCATTTCCTTCCAGGACTTTCAGGAGAGACTGAGAAGGGGCTGGCACAGCTCCTGGCACCTGTGGAGACCCCATCAAGAGTAGATACTGTGATTTTTATCCAGGAAAGAGCAGATGTTTCAGGCTTTAGTGCTGGGCTTGGGAAGCAACTCCAAAGTGTTTCCAGAGCTGACTCCTGGGCAAGGACTCCTAGCAGAAAACTGCCACACAAAGCCTGGGGCTGTGTCTGGCTTGCTGGTGAGGGCCCCAGCACCTGCTGCAGACAGTGCTCAGGAAAAGCTCTTCAGGTTGAGCAAACCTTCACCCAACCCATAGACATTGGTAACATCTGTAAGAGATGGGATCAGTAGACAGCTGGGAGGAGAGCGTGGGGGTCTCAGACACACACAGGGTTCAAATCCCACACTGGCCCTCAGTACCTGGGTGATGGTGGCCAGTTGCCCCAGCCCCCTGAACTCTGTAAGCAGGACATTGGGGTCAGAGGGTAGACTGGGGGCTAGGAGAGGCAGCCTGTTTTAGGTGCCTTCTTCTCCAGCACATGGGAACTCTCAGGAGGGTCAGGTTAGCTCCAGTGGGTGTCACCGAATGTCACTGGGTACTGGGCACTGTGCTGGGCACCAGAATGGGGGAAGATAAGTAGGAGACAGCCCCTGCCCCTCAGCAGTTTGCTCAACACGTGCTCATTAGTCCCTTTGGAGTGGAGAAGCCTCATAATGCCTGTCTCCAGGCTTGGCCAGTGAGGACGGTTGTGAATGACATTCCAGAGGGAGCCCCCTACCCAATCCCTGGCTTCCACCAGTCCCTCTGCAAGGTGGCAACCTCTCCTGGGACTGCAGTTTGCCACTGTGGTGAGGAGACGCCAGCCTTCAGGGTGCCCTCCCCTACTCTGAGTGACAGCAGATCGACCCTCGCCTCTCTTGGCTCTGCGGCCTCCTGAGGCATGGCGTGCAGCTGCAGGTTTCCAGCCTGCGCTCAGCTGCAGGCCTCCTTTGTCCAGCAAACTTCTCCTTGCAGAACTCCAGTACACAAAGGAACACAGAGCCCACATTTATTGGCCACTTACTGTGTGCCCAGAGTATTCACAGCCCTCGTGCACCCCTTCCTTGAACCCCCTGAGCTGTCAGTAGGTTTTGTTATCATCCCCTTTGTCCAGAAGAGGGAGCCAGGCACAGAGAGGGCAAGTAACTCACTCCAGGTCACACAACTCAGAAGCGGCTGTCTGACTACAGAGCCCACATTGGCCACTTACTGTGTGCCCAGAGTATTCACAGCCCTCGTGCACCCCTTCCTTGAACCCCCCGAGCTGTCAGTAGGTTTTGTTATCATCCCCTTTGCCCAGAAGAGGGAGCCAGGCACAGAGAGGGCAAGTAACTCACTCCAGGTCACACAACTCAGAGGCGGCTGTCTGACTACAGAGCCCACACGCTCACTCCCCATGCCCACTGCAGTCTGGCTGCAGTTGCTGCATGCTGATCTCAGGGTTCAGCATGAGACTCTGCTCCTTGGAACTAAACATAGCACCTGGGGAGAGTCACCTTGCCACTGCAAAATGAGTCCCACCCCCGGTTGGGATGGTGACTGGATTGTCTACGAAGAGGCAACTAATGCCCCCAGCACAGTGCTGGGCCTTGAGGAGTACTCAGCAAGTGCACCCCTCTCTTCCCTTTGCCCCGACTCTGATATGGACCCCGACCCATTGTATGCTGGGCGTCAGGGCGTCAAGGAGTCCACCAACCAGCAGCCCCTTTCTGGGGGCAGGGGGTACCTCGGAAGAAGGTGAGAGATGGTAAAGCTGGGCTGTGTCAGTTTGCCTACTGGGCATTTCCTGAAAAGGGGTGGAGGAAGGGGGCCAAAGCTCACTGGGTAAAAGGTCTGAGCTTTTCTGGGAACAGCACTTTCCGGGGGCTTGGTCTCAGCCGCGTAAGGTTTCTGACCCATGGACTTTTCACCTTGGCTCCAGCTCCGACCACGCTGGCAGTATTTACCCTGTAGAAAGGGAATGGGGCCAGATTTGTGCAAGGGGGGCTTGGAGAGGGCAATCTGGGATGGGAGGTCAGAGCCAGGGCAGCCAGACCTGGGGCCCTGACAACCCCAGGGTCCTGAAAGGCCCAGGCCCCTGGAGCCCCCAGTGTTGGTCTGCTGTTGGGTAGCTCATCGTGCAGTTGGTCCCCATCCTCCTCTGAGTCTTGCTCTGGGGCTGAAACACCAATAGACTGATGATGATGAAACCTACTGCGTCCTCGGTGTAGACAAGGGTTAAAATCCAACCTCTCACCCTTGCCCACTGTAAGAACTCCTCTACTGCCTCATCTATAGAATGGGATAGTAACACCCAAGTTGCAGTGTTGAGGAGAAGAACTAAGGAAATAAAAAAAAGTTCTTGGGACACTGTAAGCTCCCACTAAGCGACAGCTATGTGATTATAATCATGGAGCACAGGAAATGTTTTCTGACTGGATGGATGGATGATGGATGGGTGGATGTGCACGTCAGTGGGTACCTAGGCAGGTAAATGGAGATAGGTGGATAAATGGATAGTAGATGTACAACCCTCATCCATGTATCTTCCATCCATTCATTCATCCTTCCCACCATCCATCCACACGTCCATCCATCCACACGTCCATCCATCCAACTGTGCGCGTGTGTGTGGTTGGGTGGATGAACAGGTGAACAGGTAGATGGATGGGTGGATGTCTGGCTTAGTGGGTGGATAGATGAGGGGTAGGTAGATGTTCAGATGGACAATCAGATGAATGAACAGACGGAGAGATAGATGAATGGACAGAAGGATTGTTGGATGGCTGGGACCACAAACTAAATGCTAAATGGCCTTCTTTGGTAGATGTTCAGATGGACAATCAGATGAATGAACAGACGGAGAGATAGATGAATGGACAGATGGATTGCTGGATGGCTGGGACCACAAACTAAATGCTAAATGGCCTTCTTCCCAAAGGTGACAGATAACAATTGCTTCAGATCCTGCCGATACCATGTGCATTAACCTGGCCATCGGGGGGCCAGAATACTGCAGCCTTCACAATCTGCTCATTAACTGATTCACAGAGATTTCACCTATTCAAAGCCGACAGGGTAGCAGTGTGACATTTAAGATTGCCTTTCAGCCAGGCCTTGGCCTTTTGCTGAACACGTCACGCAGCCATTTGCTGGTTTGCTGTCTCCTCCAAAGGTGCCTCAAACTGTACCCCCCACTCAACCATGCAGTCCTGGACCCAGCTTCCCGAGGCCAAGGGGTGGGGGGTGCCCTGAAGAGTTGGGGCCCTTCCCCCCAGCTGCTTGCCACATTCTCTCTGCAGCAGTGCCACCAATTACCTTAATTACCTTCCATTAGGGACTTAATTTATAACGCAGCAGCAAGGAAGTATTGGAGAAAGAGTTTCCCTGGCAACCTGGTTTTTAAACATAAGATTCTCCATGTTGTAAAAGCCACTTCTCATCTAATTTCCTCCCTGACAATTAACTTGGAACTTTTCGGATGGGGGTGGGGGGGGGTTAGCCTCGCAGCAGGCCACCGCTTACATCTGAAACCATCAAAGACCTGGGCTTCTGCCCTGCCAGAGGCGAGACCCTGGGGAGTTGTTCGGGTTTTCTCTGCCTCTCTGTTCTGAAAGGGTTATTATGAAATAACTACAAAGAGAGTCTTTTTCTGATCTCCAAACAGCCCATCAAAACTCCTGACAATAGCCTGTTTTATGGACTCTGAAGTTGTTGAAGTTCCCTGTTGGCTGTAGTTTTGGCCATGAGCACTTGACGGCAGACTCCAGGCACAGGCAGGTGGCCCAGGCCTGTCCTCAGTGGCAATCCTGGTCCCCGTATCCTCAGGTTGAGACAAGCAGCACTGACCGCCACTCCCAAAGCAGAGGGCACACAATCCCAGAGAGCACTCTTGGAGGAGATTTTTCTCTCTGGGTACCCCCCTTATCACCATGTACCAGTTCAGCGACATGGCCTGCCTGGCTTTTCATAATCTGCTCCAGCATGGGGGTGGGAGGCTCCACATTTCACCTCTTCCCATATCTGCACCTTTAATCCAACCAAACCACACACCCATCTGTCCAACCTCCAGCCATAAACACAGCATCTACCCTTCTGTTTACCCTCTGTCTATTCTCAGACACATGCCACCTAATCCACCCTGATTCTCACACCCCATAATCCACCTGGAATTCCTACACCTTGTCCTTCAGACCTTGACTTTCCAAATTTGGTATCATTTCATGGTGCTGCTCAAATACTGCTTCCTCTGAGAAACCCTCCCTGACTTCCCTTCCCCTTCCTCTGAACCTTTGTAGCAACCTGTCTATACCTCTGAGGACCTCCAGCTTGTCTGCACTGTCTGGTTTAGCAGTTATGTGTGTTCTGAAAGTACATGGAGAAGTCAGGCAGGGCTAATTCAAACTCTGGCTCTCACGGCATGGTAGCTGTGTGGCTTTGGTGATAAGATGGGAAGGTGGATGAGGATGGATGCAGGGTTTATGATCGATCGACTGGATGGGGATCAGACTTGGGACCAAGTGGAGGTTGATGGTCCATGGGATGTATGTACAGAGGGACAGCAGGTATCTAGAAGCATAGGTGGTTGGAGGATGTGAGAACATATAATTAAATGGAAGGGTAAAGTGTTGGATCAATGGATAGAAGGATGATGGATGGTGGATGAAGGGACGGATGGATGACAGATAAGGTGAAATGCAAATGCATCTTTTCCCACTGCCCGGCAGAATTGCAAAATCTGAGAGGTGGGACCAGGGGTCTGACCACCAGGCAGTTCTGCGTGTGGCCGAAAAGTGAACCTGTAGGCTCTTACCAAGAGGAGATAGTGCTCCTGATACCTTGAAGCTTGAAGTTTTTCAGTGACCCTGGGAAAAGGACAGGGCCTCCTATGGGACCAATTCATTAGGAAGTACAGTCCTGATCAGCTCATCTAAGCACTTGGGCTGGCTTTAAGTGCCAGGCAGTCAGAGGACATTCAATAACTATTCATTGGAAAGTGACGGATTGATCTTGGAAACCTGCCATTTTGGGAAGCATGGGCTGGCTGGGGACAGCACAAACATCTCCCTCATCAGAGCAGCCCCTCATGCTTGGCAACAGGAGAAGTTAATGCTGCTGTTACCAGCACAGACTTGAGTTTTCAGCAGTCACTCCCCACTTTGTATGGTGATTGTAACATGTTACAGAGGCCCAGGGAACATGCTCTGCTGCTAGAACCAACACCCATAGAACATGAGGTTTAACCAGCTCTGCCCACCTGGTGCAGGGGCTGCAGCATGTAGGGTGGGGTCAGGTCGGCTCGAGAAAACAGGGCTTATGACCCACTTCCTGGAGTCAATTTGTCCACGAAGCCAGGAAGACCCAGTAGACAGAGAACTCAACCCCAGAGTGGTTGGGAGGTTGAGTGACACAGTGGGTCTGTTCCACACAAAGTTAGAGGAACATCCGGGCCCTGGCTCTTTCCAGGAAGGACAGTTTTCATAGGAGTTGATCATAGACACACTTGGAGGCTGAGAAGAGGTGCAAACACCCCTCCCCTTCCCCTGGAATCCCCATCCCAGCCTCCAGGTCTACACTGATTTGCAGGAGTTGTGTGGACTCTCTCCCGGCTATTGCTCACCACCAGGGGGTACCCTACACAGAGATCATGGGGCAGGGCGGCAGGTGTCACTGTGCATTATTGTCACAGGAGGCTTTAGGGCCTTGGATTCCCAGGTGCTGCATCTAAAAGACCAACAAAACTCCTAACATGACTCAGTGTTTTGTGTTGTTCATAAAACTGTCTCTGCTTCTCCCATCAGACTCCCTCCCCAGCAGGAATGTGGGTGGGGAAACGAGGAAAGGAAGACAAATTTACTTCTGCCTTATCTGAAAAGTGTTTAGCTAAGTGCCAAGCATATAATAAGTGCTCAATAACTAATCATTATTAGGGGAGGATGAGATGGAGGAAATCGTACAGATCAGAATTTAATTCCGTCACGCAGATTTATTGTGCTTCTCCTCAGGGAAAAAAAGAGAAAGAGTATCTCAACTTTCCATCTTCCTTTCTCTCCCAGACTGACTTTGTGGCAGTGTCCTCCTGTCCCCTTTGCCTGCAGCCAGTTGAAAAAAAATAAAAAGAAAAAGCCAATTCGGTGTGCTTGGCTGAGCCCCTGCCTCTCCTGCTCACAACTCCCTCTAACTTTGTGTTTAATTTCCCTGGGTCGAGAAGAAGCATTCTGATGATCTGAGTTAATTCAAAATGCAAATTTCATCTCCATCGGCTAATGGCTCTGAGATAGGCTTTACATAACCAGGGAGCAGCTGCCATATGAGTCACCCAGGCCTCTGGCTCCCTCATCTCTGTCCTTAATGGTGATGAAGCCTTTGCTGAGGCTTCCAACAGACCGCGCAGCCCCCACACCCACGGAGGCCAGACCCGGGTTCACTTCTGCAGGCAGAGTGTTCTATCAAACAGGGGGACCATGGGGCAGTGGTTTAATGCCAACCCCAGAGGCCAGGCTCAGCCCAGGAGGCTCCAACTGAGCCAGACCAGTCTCCCAGGGCCAATTTTGGGCAGCCCAGGCTCATGTGTACCCTCACCTAGGTTGGGGACCCTCAGGCCTGGCCGAGAATTTCACAATGAGCCAGGCTGGCTTCCACTGTGTGCAGGGAGCTGTCTTCACCCAGCCCTGAAGAGTAGCTTTGAACCCCCCAGGATCTGAAAGCCATTATGGCAGCCAAGGTCTTCCACATGCTGGGGTGATGCAGTCCCTGTGTTGCTCTCTCAGCCACAAAATGGGTCCCCTCCCGCCTCCCTAGGAGATGCTAAGGGCTTCTCTTAAAGGCAGACCAATATCCCATTATCTGAGCTGAACAGCTCGTTAGTGTTCCCAAAAACAAAACAACCCACAGCAGTTTGGGTATTTCCACCTGTCCTCTGAGGCTGGTGGACAAACCAGACTGTGGACCAGGATGGAGGGTGAAGG